GTGGGCAAGCGTTCGAAGAATACACAGCTCAAAGCGGCATCTCCCCAAGCGACTGCGCACGTGGACAGTGACGCGGACAGCAGCGGCAGTGAAGTGCCACCTGCGGTGACGTCGCCCACACTCGCAGAGGGATGGGATGGCGAGGTCCTGTCGAATCTCGATGCCTCCGGCAGCAAGCCGAGTGGCGGCAGGCTGTCCTCCACCATGGAAATCCGTGATAGAACCGCGGGTGAGGAGACTGTTGATGCCAACCAGACACTGTTTCTGCACGTGCATTTTTTCCTCTGCCCGATTTTGCGTGGTGCGCGTGGCATCCCTGGTGTGGTGCATGGGAGCGCCATGGTGCAGAACCTTGCGCAGACTGTGTCGAATGAATTCCCCACAGGTACAACGTTTGAGATACGCCGTGATGTTCGCATCAATCGCCACTTTCATCAGCGAGACTACATGTGGCATAAGCGTGCTCACACAAAACAAGATGTAAGCAAGCGAAGAATCACGATATGTGAGGAGTATCGGCTTGTTCCACCAGAATTCGCATCAACTCTTTCCCCATGTGACAGATTACCTTTTCACATGGCGTTCTTATTTGATCCCACACTTCAGGCAGTTGTGACACACTACACCAACATGCGGTATGCCCCTGAAAGGGAGAGTGGCGCCGGCCAGACGACACGCTTTGTGGCAGTCTTTAGAGGCGTTGAGGTGTACTCAATTCGTGAATTGGTGGAGAATTTCTTTCGTGCCTATTTGGAGAAGCCAGAAGAAGAATTAGAGGCGGGCCATCCTTTCCCTCTTCTTGTTCCATCCACTGTGTTCAGGGAGCACAAAACCGGCGACGCTGATGGAGCAGAAGATAATAACAGTACCACCAGCACTAGCAGCAGCTGCAGTGGCAGCAGCCGAAACAACACCAAAAACAATGAGACTGCCGAAAGAAGACGGCCGCAATTGCCCGATGGATTTGTCTCTGCCCGAGCCTTTCTCGAGGCAAAGGAACACCACAGGCTGGTCAGCGACCCTGTTCAACAGGTACTTTTGTGCGACAGAGAACTGGGGGTGATGGTGCTTGGCCGGGCGCTCGACAAGCGCATTATCGGGCCTCCAGCAAGGCCGCCGCTGGGGCCACAGAACTCCATGACCATCAAGAGCTCCCCCGCCGCCTTGATCAACACCAATGGCGACGCCCATAGGATTAGTGTCATTCTTCACATGTCGTCGCCGCTCCTTCCGCCGTTCAGGCTACGCCATTTCACGGGTGCCATGGTCGAGGCTGTTGGCCTATTTACACGACCTTCTTCGCCTTTTCCTGAGTTTCGCGTCCGCTGCAGTGTTCCTGATGATGATGACGACGTGGCACTTTCGTATCGGGTTCAGAAACGCAAGAAAAAACGTGTGGAAGAGATCGAGTCCCTTGAGGCCCGCAGCGTCGTCATGACTCTTGAGGATGCTCACCGTGCGCTTTCTGGCGCTCCGAAAGAGAAACCGAAAACAAAGAAGAGATCTCCCGAAGGTACGCCGTCCAATGAAGGCAACCTTCTGGCATTACCCAATGCCACCCGTGATGCGGTGGATGCTTTCAGGCTACACGACGAGATGGGTCCTACACTCGGCTGGTTACTGCGGTCTAGCACAGCGTTTTTGTTCGCGTAGTGGTGTCTCGGGTGTAGGATGATGCGAGGGGCACATTTTTCGTGTATTCTGAGTGAGTGGGAGAGAGAAAGAGAGGGGATGAAAGGTCATCTTGGTTCGTCTGGCTTCCCTCTGTTAATTATTTACCCAAATACCGGGGTTGAAGAGAACATTTTTTTTCTGTTGTATGTGCGGTCACACCTCTCCTTCCAAGTCCCCTTTGCTGCACAAGGTGTGGAATGAAGAATAAAAGAAATGTATTGGGGGAGTCGTGTTGGATAGGTTGTTGTTTTACTGGTTCAAATACATATATATATATATATATGAATCAATATTTTTGATTTTTCTTCTGAAATTGTATTTCAGCAATGAAGAACACCGTAATTTTCAGAAGAGTTTTTTTGTGTTTGTCTGTGTTCGTCTGAGTCCCACTTGGTCGTGCAGGCGCGATGCCGGAGAGAGGCACACACACCACAGTTTTCACGCGCTTGCAGGCCCGGTACAAGAATGATTGCGTGATGAGGGACTGGTGTGTGGCATTTCTTTTTTTTTTTTGTTTTTGTTTTTTCCTTTGCCTTTTTTTTTCCTCTGCTTGCTTGTAAATCGAACTCTTTTTGGACGGAGACAAGATATCTGAGGAAGCGAAGAATAGGGAAGGCAAGAGCGCACGAAGTAAAAGATCGATAGATGGATGGGGGAAATCATTTTCTTTTTTCATTGTTATTTTTAGTGTTCTTCTTCGGATCCCCGTGTAAACAAATTATATATATATATATATATATATATCTATGTCTATATATGTTTTGCGCTTGTATATTGGGGGAGAAGTGGCGCCACCTTGGAGTGGCGCGGAAACAGGAAAAAAAAAAGAATAGGGTAAGAACGTGCTTGTGTAATCGCTTGGATTGGTGGAGGATTCCGGTTGTAAAGGGGGAAAAAAAATGGCCTTGCAACTTTCAGCACATGCGGGCCTCCGGTAGGGCGGGAGGGGGTTTGCATCAACTATTGTGCCTTTGCCATTGCAATGTGGCGGAAAACATAATGGCTTGCCTTTTGAGGTACGAGAGAGTAAATCATTGTTACTTATTTCATCAAAGGCTGATAGATACAACGGGATGCTCCTGCTGTGGCGCGGCAACCGCTGTTGATGCTTGCTGAGATGTGCGTATTTCACCCCCTCTTTCTCCTTTTTTAAAATTTCTTCCGGTTTTTAAGCGCCAATAAAAAAAAAGAAATAAACAGGGGGCCAACAGACTAAAGACTGCTCCTACTGCTGCTGCTGCTGCTGTTTGTTGATGCTCCAGCGCACTCTTGCAAGGCGGTGGGTACCACGGTACTTTGATCGTGCCGCTCAACCGCTGCGCAAACGACGAAATGCTCCTGGAACTGCTGCTATTGCAGCGGCAACAACAACATCATCATCAACATCAGCGAGGACAGGAGAAGCGGAAGTTTCGGCGTCTCGTCAAACTGTCCCAAGACGCGGAATGACCAAATTACTCATAGGTGGGCGTAAAGGTGAAGGATCCTTCAAAGACACCGTGGAGGAGGGAGAGCGAAGAGGCAAGTCAGGAAGGGCGCCATCATTGACGGTTGAACAGAATGCCGCTCCACCTGTGATGATACTGCTGCGAAAAGCAGAAGAGCTGTTGCGTTGCTGGCAGGAGCTGGATGACGTGATGGTGAACCGCAAGATCGGGCACGGTCAATCCTCTCCACACACCCTGTCTGCGAGCGAGACAGAGGCACTGTCCCTACAGCAACAGCGAGATATGGTGTTTTTCACAGCCAAGGCTGAGGTGTTCGCCGTGCTAAAGGCTCTCCTTCCACCAGTGCAGTGTCGCGGTGGTGGTAGCGGCGTGGATGCCCCCCCACAGAATTACAAGAGGGAGACCGAAACACATGCTGGCAGGAAATCAGTAGGCGGGTTGGCTGTCATCCCAGATGAGGCCACTGCAGATGTTGGCGGATACCTGCAGCAACTTGGGACTTCTCGTCTTGGTGACGGGAAAGGTGGTGAGTCTTTCTCGAGTGACACACAGCGGAGGCCTGCTGTGCTTTCTATGAAGGATATTGTCGTATTTCTTCAGCTTTACCATGCATTGGAGTGTGAGGATGGTATTTTGCTCCTGCAACTCATGGAGGAGTTGCAGTGTATCGTACTTGCACCGAAGATAAGGAGCATCAATGAGGATGCGCTGTCGAATAAGGGGCATGAGTCTGCTGTCCCGCAGGTTCTTCTGGTTATGTCTGGTCTGGGGCTTGTTGAAGAGTTTGTGCTGCAGGCACTTATACGTCCGAGTGGTCCATTCCTATCACCAGCAGAGATTGCTCGTCTCCACGAGAGTGATCTCGTCCGTCTACTCGTTGCACTGCACCGTTTCGGGTTACACCAAGAGCCATGCTTCAAGTCCACAACAAAGGTACTGCGACAGAGGGCACATCGCAAACCTTTAAAGTCTTTTATACGCCCCCACTTGGCGCACCCCAGTGGAGCTCCACCATCAGACGCTGCGAAATCGGCTGGCATTCCGGCGTGCGTGGTCGGGCTGACAGTGAACGAGTTACTAGAGGGCATCTCGGCTGTTGCACTCAGCGTGCACCGTGAGAAGGCGGTAGTGGAGTTTCTGAGTGCAATCATTATTGCCGCAGTGGAGGTGGAGGAGAGGAACAGTGCCAGCATCACCAGAGAGCGCGTCGATGCGCATGAGCACAATTTGGGTCTGTTGCGAACGCTACAGGTTCACCGTGCCGCTAAACTATGCGAGCAAATGCAGCTCGAGCAGCCGGCGCTGGCGCACCTGTTGCACCGGCTGTCGATTCGCCACGGCGGCCTTCTCGTCGACGGCGGGGAGACGGCGATGAACCCTGAGCGTGTTGGTTTCTTCGACGCTATCACGGCGGACCTCGTGAAGGTGTGCCACAGCTAAGCCGTCAAGACCCTCCAGGTCTCAGCTCTGACACGCATGGTGGATCGCTCATACTCCTTTGCTTCTGTGTGCAGTAAGTGTATAAAGGATCCTGCGAAGGAATTGTTTCGTGTTGTTATTTTTGTTGTTCTACAGTTATTACTTTTTCAACACACGCTCACACACCTCGTCTTTCAAGGGTTTGTCTTTACTGCCCTGCGCACAAGTCACCACAGGAGCTAACCAGGTACAAGGGTAACCAAGCTGCAAGCAGGCGCACACATACATATACAAAAAAGAAATCAACGTATAAAGAGGCATTTATGACAGAAAAGTCTGCCACCTTCGCAGAGGTTGTGGCGGGAAGACTGTCCATTGCTCCCGTGCAGCAGGACATCGATAGTGTCGCACCAACTGCTGCGACAGCGGAATCGTTAAGCCCTGCGCCACACGTTGGCACAACATTCTTCACGAATGTCCGACCACCTGGCGGTGAGAGCTACGCGGACGCCGTCAAGTCGGGTAGCGTGAAGCTTGACGGGGTGCCGGTGAACCCTCTGAAACTTGTCGGCTTCATCGAATCGGTGACTAACTCGACGATGCAGGAACAGGAGTCGGTGCTGTCGTCATGGGCCGACGACGATCAGTGCTTCTTTGACTCCATCCGCATCGCACAGGAGGAACAGCGGAAGCCGCAGGAGTCGCAGCGCGACACCGGCCGTCAAGAGAGGGACGGCGATTGCAGGCGCGAGCACGGCGGCCGGCGCTGGCGCTTCATTGGCGGCGGCGAGAGCAGCAGGAACAACAACAACAATAGGCGACGCAGGGGCAATAACCGCGGCAACTTTCGAAGGGCGGGCGGTGCAGAGCCGCCGGTTCTTTCCGGTGGACGCTTTGCTGCGCTGCGCTGAGGCCTGCCATGCAGGATGGCCTGCGAGGCGGTGATGCGCCACGACGCGGAGGGCAAAGGGGAGAGAGCACGGTGGAGAAGGAGCGATAGCGAGGAAACGGCGATAGCCCCACCAGCAAAGTGAGAGGAAGAGCTCCGGGCGAGAGACATTGGGTGAAAAAGAAGAAAAAAAAAGAACCAAACCGCAAAAAAAAAACCAAAAGACGAAGACAATCCGAAATCAATCAATTCTGATGAATAAAGAGCCACAAGAAATGTATCTGCTCGTTTGCCTCTAGTTATCTGTGTGGGTCTTTCCGTCGCGGGAATTCCTCTTTTTTTGAGTGTTGTTTGTTTGTTTTCCAGAGTTTATTTGGCTTCAGTTGGTGGGCCCGCTGTGTTTCGTCTCCTTCGCCGTGCGGTGCGTGTGTTGTATTTGTCGACTGGGGCTCGCAGGCACATCAGTAGGCGCGAAACTAAAACACCAAGGCAAAAAAAAAAACAAAGAATAAACGAACGAAATGAAATCTGCACATGTGCACCGTCATCTTTCTTTTCTCCCCCCTCCCTTTGGGTAGTTGTTGGGTTTGTTTGTTTTTCTTCCTTTTATCTTGCTTGACTTCGACTTCCTTTTGAGCTCTGTTTGTTGTTGGCTGCGTTTCGTGTTGGCCGCGCAGCGGTGCGAAGGCCGCGACTCGTATCCACCGCATCCGCGCCCAGCCGTCTGGCGCTGCGCGCCTCGCCCTCTTCATACGCCCACCGTTACAACAGCAGCGGCAAGAGCTGCCGGTGCGTGTTTTGTCAGCATTACCGCTGCGGTGGATTCTGACGTTCCTCCGATCTTATTCCTTGCTGTTGTTGTTGTTTGGTGCGTGTGTCTTGCATGAATCGGCTGTTTGATGCTTTTTTTTTTT